CCCGCCACAATGCCCAGCCATTTTTTGGTTGTAGCCATCATTGTTGTTTGGCGGGCCCGGGCTGGGGATTCGAACCTGCCACCTTAGTTGTATGTGGCTGGCGCCTTAGCTGCTTGACCCACAGGCGCCGAGCCAGCCAAGTTAATTTAATGAATGTTTACTACATACCTAGCTTTGTACTACATATTCTGGAAGGTTCTAAAGATGCAACAAGGTATACTTCTTGCTTTAAAGGAATTTATAATCTAATAAGTAAGGAAAAATTAAACTGTGGTATGGACTACAAGTGCAACGGGAACAAAAATGGGCCAACTCTGCTCATCTCTGTTCTATTCTGCAAGGCTATCCAGAATCTGATGAATTTGTATCTGCTTTGAAATCAAGAATTACTGGGCGGTGCCAGTGGCTGAGTATGGTGCCAGCCCCATATAACAAGGGTAGCAGTTCGAACCTGGCCCCAGCCAAACTGTAACAATAAAATAGCTGGGTGTTGTGGTGGGCGCCTGTAGTCCCAGCTACTCGGCAGGCTGAGGCAGGACAATCGCTTAAGCCCAAGAGCTGGAGGTTGCTGTGAGCTGTGATACCACAGCACTCTATCAAGAGCAACAAAGTGAGACTCTGTCTCTTAAAACAACAACAAAAACAACAAAAAAGAAATCAAGAATTACCTATCTATCGCTGGTATGTTAATTAGTTTTTTAAGGCAAATAGCCCTATCAGTTTTATATTAATGCCCAATAAATGTACATGACAAATCCACCCACTTTTCTTTACCCCCACTACCACTCTGGTCCAATCCACCATCGTTTCTCATGTGGACTACAGCAATAACCTTTTTCCTCCCTTCTTCCTGTTTTGCTCTCTTCAGAATTGATTTTTTACACCATACTCCAGGGGATGTTTTTAAAATATAAATCACATCTTGTTGCTTCCTACTTCAGCGTACTGCATGCAAAATAAAATCTAACAAGGCCCCGTATAAGACCTCTGACCATTCCTCTGACCCCAGCACTATTACTTCCTTTGCCTTTTACTTCTAGCTACATCAGCCACCAGCTTTTTTTTTTTTTTAGCACATAGAGCTTATTCCTATCTTAGGACATTTGTTCTTTGTCATTTCTTTTGCCTACAATACTCTGACCCTCTCTTTGCTTGGCCAATATCTTTGTAGTATTCAGGTTGCTGCTCAAATGTCATCATCTCACAGGTCTTCCCTGGTGACACACTCTAAAAACCAGCCATAATAACTATCATATAACCTTGTTTTATTATCTTCAAAGCATTTAGTGCTATCTAAAGTTGTCTTGTTCTTATGATTGCCCAATCTAGAATCTCACTGAGGGATCTCATTCACTGTTGGACCTATAGTGTTGAGAGCAGTGCCTGGCCCATGGTAGGTGTTCAGTAAACACTAGCTGACTAACTAAATACATGCCTATTGGTATAAATCTCTACATAAAAGGGAGAAGAGCTGCCCTGCTATGATTCTCAACAGTTTGGGAATTGTAACTCTGGCAATTAAGCAAACTTGATTATACTCAACATCCCAACTACAAGTCTTTTTACTTGAAGTGAATTAAAAGTAATTTTATTTTGAAATAAGCAGAGCTACTTAGGGTGTCTTAGTATGTGAAGAGACATACATCATTCTATGTAAGAAATGATGCCCATATCTTAATTGATTCATAGGTAACAAAAATTCATTACCTCTTCAGAATGGTCTTATCAACCCATTATGGAAGAAAGCATTCAAGAAACTGTATTCCTCTTGATACAGGAGAGAAGTATAAAATGTAGGACATATTGACTTTTGTGAGTCAGTGAGACCTTCTGGGTACAATGTTTTAGGAGAAAGTATAAAATCAATGCAATTGATAGACTGAGAGCATTCCTGTAGTAATGGTTCTGTTTTCACAGAAGATACTACTTGAATTTATCTGTTTCCTTATAGTATGGCACCTGTGAGTTTGTATCTTTCTTTTCTGGATAGTCTATCACTTTTTTTGTAAAAGCAGTATGAACACCAGACAAAAAAATATTAAAAAAAAAAAAGTTACTCGTAATTCTACTACATCATCACAATTTCTACCACGTATGTGTTTTTCTCTCCAGTTTTTTCCTTATAGAATGTATTTTTATGTAGCTATTTTTATAATGAATAAACCATTTAGTAAGCTGCTTCTCTCCCTGTTATACTGTATGCATTTTCCATGTGCTACACAAACTTTTTCTACAAATGCATTATTTTTAACACTCTATAAGTTAACTAATGAGTCTTTTATTTCTGAAGCTCTAGCCTATTTCCACTTTTTCTATAAATGATGTTGTAACAAACACCTTCCTGAAAGAAAGTTGTGTTTACTTCTTTGGACTATTTCTTTAGAACATAAATTAGAGAAAGGTGGATTACTGAGTTAAAAGACATTATTTGGCTCATGCCTATAATCCTAGCACTCTGGGAGATTGAGGCTGGTGGATTGCTTGAGCTAAGGAGTTTGAGACCAGCCTGAGCAAGAGTGAGACAGACACTGTCTCTAAAAATAGCTGGGTGTTGTGGCAGGCACCTGTAATCCCAGCTACTCAGGAGGCTGAGGCAAGAGAATCGGTTGAGCCCAAGAGTTTGAGGTTGCTGTGAACTGTGACACCATGGCACTCTACCAAGAGTGACAAAGTAATATTCTGTCTCAAGAAATAAAAAGACTTTTTTTTTTATGGCTCTTGTTTTATATGACTCTTACCTTTAATGTGACACTTCTTTGGTCTTCTGATGAAAATCCTTGAACTGGGTGGACACCCAAGCATGGCAGGACAAACCCACTATACCTGAAAATGTAGAACTAATTATAAAAATAGGAATGGCAGACTAGAAGACTACTCTGAAAAACAAGTAGGAAAAAACCTCTTTAAAGGGCTATGGTAAAATGCTTTTCCTACTCATTCCCTTTAAAAATATATCTTTGATATTATAAATTGAGCATCATTAACTATGCCCTTATTAATAACTTCTTAATAATCTTATTTAGAAGTAGCACCTCTCTGAAAGTTGCATAATCTTTTCAAATTCTCCTGAATGTTCAGCAACCGCCACAAGGGCCACAACATTGGCCTGGAAAAGAAAAAAAGAATAGAATAGTTAGAGTCCCAAACAATACACATATTTCATATAAATCACATAAAATTTGACAGTTTTCTGTGCATTCTAGTTATGCTTGTTCACTCAAGCTCCATCAATATAATCAAAATGGCTACCACTGTGTACTTTACTGTGTTTCAGGCCCTATGTTCTTTGACTATAAATGTTTCTTCATTTAATCTACACAAACCTGTGGGGTAGGCATTGCTGCAATCCACTGTATAAATCAGGAGACGGAGTTTTGGATGGAGTGAAATAACTTGTCCAGGGTTATTAACTCCAAACCACATACTCCTAATTGAGTTGCCACAGATAAATTGGCTGCATATAAAAATGTACTGGCAACCACTTCTAGTTCTATCACTTTGTGGGAAGACCACAAAATACTAGTTATGATGAATTTCATAAATATTTCCCAAAATAATAATCTTTCCCCAATCAAAATTTTCAGAAAACTTTTATAAGAAATCCCTGATCTCCCAAATAGTATAAATTAAAAAACTGAAAGATGGACTGATCTGTTCCAGAGTGCTGGAAGCATGATGGCTGTGGGAGTATGTATTGAATTCAGACAAACTTGTTTCTATCATTTTATTACCATGTGTCTTTGGACTAGTTACTTATCTCTAGGCCTCACTTACCTCATTTATACAATGGGAAATGGTTGGCTATAAAATAATAACTTCCTCAGAAGGTTGTGAAATATTAAATGAGATAAAGTTCAAAAAGGGATCAGCTTAGTGACTGGCACATACTAAAAACTTATCAAATGCTTCTTATTAATGACTGAAATGACATCAACACAGTATATCTACATTTCAAGATGTTTTAGCTTAAAATTTAGTAGGAAAAATAAAAGGGCCATGATATATTTTCTTTTTTTTCCTTGTTGTTCTTAAAGACCAGCGTCCTAGTAACAAATAAAGATATTGACTTACCTTCTTGGCTTTCTCCAACACATCATCCAGATCCTAAAATAAGCATAAATTATTTTAGATGAATAAGTAATGGCCTTTGGAAGTATACATCAGTGAGTTGAGGCACCATAAAGAATGACAACGAGAGCAAGGAACAGGGTGGCAGAGAGCAAAGAACCTACACTGATCCATCTCCTGTTTACTCTTACTCTTAGCAAAGTCTGGCTTCTCTTCCCACTCCACTAAAACAGAAACCTCAATTGTCAAATATAAAGGACAGTTCTCTATCCTTCTCTTATTCTGTTCTTCAGCAGCATTTGTAACCCCTTACTTGCTTACTCTTTCCTCCTTGAAATATGTTCCCCTCTTGGCTTCTGCATGAACAATCTCTCCAGTAGCTGCTTCTGAGTATCCTTGACTACCTTTCTCTTCTTTTTCTGACCTCAGGATGCTGTACTCTTTCTTTACTTGCCTTAAGTGACCTCATCTGCTTTTAGTTTTAATTACTGCTGAGTTTCCAATTTTTATCTCCAGTTTATAAGTCTCTCCTGGAAGCCATGATTCACATGTAAAATACCACATGACATCTCCACTTGGATGAGACTAGACTTCCCAGTATATCCCAACATATGTCTTTGTTTGTTCCTCACACACTTATTCCTTCTGCCTACCTCTCAACCCCCTTCCCGCAAACCTTGGTCTACTCCCATCTCAGTAAACATTACAGTCTTCCCTACAGCACAAGCTAATAATCTGAGCCATCCTCTATACCTTCCCTTCCCTTGTTCTCTGCATCTAATTCTTCAGCATGTACTGGGAATTCTATCTCTAAAATATACCTTGAATCTATCTGCATCTCTCAAACTTCTACCATCATAGTACCAACAGCCAACCAGACTCCTAACTGTCGTTTAGTTTCCGCTGCATTCATTTGCCACATGGTAGCAAAATGGTCTTAAAATGGATATAGGATTTTTGTTACTCTCTATTTATTTACTGACAGAGTCTCAAGCTGTCACCCTTGGTGGAGTGCCGTGGCGTCCCAGCTCACAGCAACCTCATACTCTCTGGCTTAAGCGATTCTCTTGCCTCAGCCTCCCAAGTAGCTGGAACTACAGGTGCCCGCCACAACACCTGGATACTTTTTGGTTATAGCTGGCACCGTTGTTTGGCAGGCCTGGGCTGGATTTGAACCCACCAGCTCCGGTATATGTGGCTGGAGCCCTAACCCTAGCCACTGAGCTACAGGACCCAAGTCTGTCACTCTCTCTTTAAAAAAAAAAAAATAAATAAAAATGGATTCCTATTGTTCTTCTAATGTAATCCAAACTCCTTATTGACCTACTTCATCTATCCCCAGTCTTTTTTTTTTTTTTTTTTTTTTTTGAGACAGAG